GCTATTTCCTTCTGCCCTTAACCTGTTTTAGAATCAGTTTTAGCCGTCACGTAGCTGCAGCTTTGTCGTGGGCATTGTCAGGAGGACGATTCCCCGTCAGTTTCGGAGGATGCGGCAGATTGGCTGGAGCGGAGGCCTCACTTACGAGCGCGGCACGGCAGATCGGTCAGCCGCCGCTAAGAGACTCGCGGAGAGCCTTTGGAAGCGCTTTAGCATTATTGAGTGCTTATGCAAGGCGTCCCCGGACGCGGCGTACTCTGCGAAGGGGGCCGCATCCAGGCTCGTGCTGTGAGAGCGGCGGCTCCACGAGAGCGAGGCGTACCGCGGCACTCCGGTCGCCCGCGCTGGTTGTCACGTTTTCCGTTGTATCGCAAAACCCGCTGCATTCTCCCGAACGTTTCATCACTGTCTAGTTATCAGCAGCCCTCAGCTTGAGTGATGCAGTCGTCAAAGCGAGTAGAGCACATGTTGGGGGGGGTGGTCCTGAAACAGCGTGTTAACAATGCGGCGGAAGCGTGGAGTTCTCTTATTAACTGCTCTGTTTGTGCTGTTAAGCGTGTTTATTAGCGCCAGTAAATGATTCTCCCTTAACCAAGTCATTAGTCGACTCAGGGCGTTGTTAGGGGAGCTAATTTTTCAAGCTGATGAAGCAGTGGAGTGAATCTGCAGCACCCCCACAATGTTCTGGGCCCTTGCTAATCGATGAGCATCTTCATGGACTCTGTGGGTGTGAGCCTACCTGTGGGTGGGCTAGATAAAGTTCTATAGGTGAGACCCTTCTTCTGGGTGGGCCAATTTGGGTTCTATAGGAAAAACACTGCCCCGACTTCCGTTGGGTTCTGAAACCCGTTCCGTTGCTGCCCCTGAGTGGGTCAAATTGGGTTTTGTAGGTGAGGCCCTTACTCATGTGGGCTGGGTTGGGTTCTAGGTGAGACCCTTACTCGTGTAGGCTGAGTTGAGTTCTGCAGGTGAGACTCTGACTCAGGTGGTCTGGTTTGGGTTTTGAAGGTGAGACCCTAACTCATGTGGGCTGGGTTGGGTTCTAGGTGAGACCCTTACTCGTGTAGGCTGAGTTGAGTTCTGCAGGTGAGACCCTAACTCATGTGGGCTGGGTTGGCTTCTGTAGGTGAGACCCTTACTATTGTGGGTTGGGTTGGGTTCTGTAAGTGAGACCCTGAGCCAGGTGGGCTGGGTTGGGTTCTGTAGGTGAAACCCTGACTCAGGTGGGCTGGATTGGGATCTGTAGGTGAGACCTTGACTCAGGTGGGCTGGGATGAGTTCTGTAGGTGAGACAGACCCCCAGGGCAACAGCCGTCATATAAATAACTATACAAATTATAAAACGACGGACGACAGGTGACCTCCTGTGTAATATTTAGCATCTAGTGGTTTCCTCCAGAGTCCAATGCTACTGTAGATCATGGGTTACAGAACTTTTTGGAGAAGCATAAATATATAACAGAATGCGAGAAATAAGGCGTCTCCATCATTGACTTTATTATGAAACCAAAAGTACAGAAAGTGTCATGGCAACAGTAAACTGAAACCTTGCAATGAAATCATGCCATGGAAATGCAGTGCACAGAGAGATAACTGCCTGTTCACCTCTGAGTTTTCTTTATGCTTTGAATGGCTCTAAAACAAAGGAGGACTAGCTGAAAGTACGTCTGTTTTTTAATAGGCCGTATTACTATGTTAATTAACATGCATTATGGATTAACACTGTGCATGATGTCTGTTTCTCTGTAATATTGTGGTTGAGGCCTCATAGCTACAGGTTTTTTCATTTTGTAATGCCGAGGAACACCGTGCCGTCTTAGAACGTTAAAAAAAATGCAAATAATGAACGTGTTTCATGTCGAAACATGTAGAGCATGCAGAAAACGATTAGAGAACACGCAGAGGATAGGAAGGCTGATACCAATGCCAGGATAGAGGATCCCAGGAACTATTTAAAGAAATGAGTTTCCACCTGAGTGCCTTTGATCGACGCTCTCTCATCAGTGCTTAGAATTTAATTCTCCAGCGAAATGGCAAGAGATTAAAGCAGTAAGACTTTGTCAAGGTTCTGTAGAGGATGGATGGGAGCCAGCGACAATGTGCTGGGTTTGAAGAGATTACCAACATTGTAGGTGCCTTTTTTGAAAGGGAAGAGCTTGTATGGCAATGGGGAAAGTTTTAAGGCTTGATTGCTGTCCTTCTTCTTTTCCTGCAGCATGGCGATGCTGGATCCAGTGAAGACCTCCCAGGACTGTCACGTAGCTGACGATGGGAGCGTATGAGCTCCAGTGAGGCACAAAATAATTGATGGTGGAAAAAGGGAGATCTGATTGATTTCAGAGCAGTGTGCGAAGATGTTTGACCGTCCGGTCGACCGGCTGCGTCACGGCAGTTTGGCTGCCCGAGGAGAAAAATACCATACCGTAAAGTACCGTTGATTCATAGCGTGGTCAGCAGGTACCAAGAAATCAAGGGGAACGTTTCTTGGGGACCTTCAGAAGCATTTTTATATGTTGGGAGAGCTCTTTCGTAGCTGTGTTTTTTGAAAGCGGAAATTCAAATCATGTACTTTGCTGAACACCCGTGGATTTTACTGAACATCGCTGGAATAACTGATCAGAAATATAAAATTTATCCCGTACATGCACACCTATCATAATTTCTTGTGTAATGCCGTTTACACAAATGCCAATAAAATGTCCCTTGGGGTGGAAGTGGGGGGGGCGGGGCATAGCACACATCAACAGCAAAGCGCCGTTAACCATTGATGCTCCATGTTGTTCCAGATCTGCCTGGAACGGCGGCGGCCGCATGTTGGAATATCTTAACACGTGTCGCTTGTCCTTTTGAGAGCCGACGGTTCGAGACGTGTCGTTCTGCTGCACGCGGAGAGCAGGACTGCGGCGTGCTAATTCACAATGACTATGTGAGGAATCAGCTCCCTTTCAGCAGAAAGCAACTGGGGGGGGGGGGACTGGCACGGGCTTCGCTCCGAGCGCGGGTGGGGGGGGGGGGGGGTGCGCTGGTGCCGGTGGTGAACGTCCAGTCTCAGAAATAGAGCTGTGAACGCCATCTGTCACGCTCTCTCCTCTTCTCTCTCTCCCCCGGCTGCGATTAAAGCGGCAGAAAGCGCTGCCCTCGTCTTCGCCTCGGAAGGACGTGGGTGCTCGCTCCCGTAGGTGTAGGCTTGCAGGGAGCGAGGGAGGGAAGGAGGGAGGGAAGGAGGCTGGTTTGGGGGGGGAGGGGGGAGTGTCGTGAGTAAACTATGCTGACAGTGGAACGCTCTCTCTCACCCACACAAGCAAGGAGGTAGGTGGGCATGTGGGCAACCCCCCCCTCCCCACCAATCACCAGCACCGCGCCGCTTCCCCCCCACCCCCCACCCCGCATCCCACCAGGTGAGTCCTGCGGGAGGATCCATCTTGGGGACTCCTCGGGTGCTGCATCGTCGCAGCAGATGCGGCGGGCTCTGCTGTGACAGCCCTGCCTCCCTCCCTCCTGCCTCCCGGTGACGTTCGGTGACACCGGCAGACAATCCGCCGCTTGCCGGGCAGGTGCAGCCACACGCTCAGACGGGCAAACCAACGATAATGTAATAACGCTCATCGTGATTAATGTGAGTAATGAGTAATAATATTATTGCTTCCCGTGCGTTCGGTGTGTCATCGCAAACCTGAAAACACACGGTGACGGGCTCACAATGAGCATGTGGTGCAGCCAGTGACCAGTGCCATATTTATCCCTTACCAGCAACAACCAACTAGTTATTATAGTGTCTCTTAACTATATTGATTTAAGGAGGTTCAGATACTGCGTTAAACTAGTTATAGTAGTCAGCTGGTATGTAGTGTATAGGTATTCCATTTGGAGATGACAGTCTGGATGCTTGAGTATATATGTGGGTGGGGCTACGGGGGGACCGGTCCCAGCTGAAAGCTGATTGGCCCCTGGGGTGCCCCCTTCTCTGTCACTCACTGATTTGAAACATATAATTGGCTAAAGCCAAGGTTGGCCCCTCTGTATGAGTTACAGCCCTTGTTATGGCCAGTCACCTTAAAAAAGTCCCGGACAGATGAATGGGATTACATCTCGCATGTCAGTGCTATGCAGATGTCAGGTGGGGGCATGAGTTTCTTCCGCGTGTCAGTGCTGCGGGGACGGTAGTGTCTCTGCAGTGATTGAGGGGGGGGGGGGCGTGGACCAGGATGCCAACTCGCATCCTCCTCCCTGATCCGCTCTCTCCTCCAGCTTTACGTGGGGGGGGGGGGGGGGGGGGAGTGCCATGCTTTTGCCATTTTAAGAGGGACAGCTCCCGGCTTTCCTGGGGGGACCCTTGTGCATAAACTCAGGCGACCCCCCTGCCCCCTCCCCCCGCCCAGATGCTGGGGGCCCATCTGCATGTCATTGGTGAGTTCCTGCATTGTACGGTTGCAGCGTCTTGTAAGAAGAGTCCTCGAGTGACACCCTGCCCTCCCCCCGCCCCATATGCCACACCATCAGCGAGCACAAGCCCTTAAATATGCTTTTACTGCTGAGCCTTTTCCGGAAGTTTCTAAGCTTCCTTAGTGTGTCTTATGCTGGATTAGCTATACTTAGACCGTAATACATCATTAACCTTAATTTTGTAATTATATCTTGCTATGTTTCCACCAAATGTGATTATTGAATCATGAAGGATACATCAGTCTGAATACTTACTGAAATACTTCAGGTGTACTCTGATATTTCCATAATGAATAACATCCTGCAATGAGTTTACTGTCCAATCAGTCAGAATAGCTTGAGTAAATTATCATTTTTTAATCTGAATGACGCTTGTAAAAGATTTGGGGGAAATGCTTGATCCTTCATGTAAAATCGGATTGGATCACTCTAATCTTCTAGGAGTTGCGTTTGGCTGTCATTTCTGGTAAAATCTAAAGGCTGTGCTGCTTTGTGGACCCAGCTTGGTGTGTTTCCACCGCACACGTCGTTTCAGACAAAAGAAAGTAAGAGGCAACAATGCAAAGGTTGCTTCTCTAGAGTGCTGTGTGGGATGGGTCCTCTGTGAAGCTGCGTCTCGTAAATGAGCTCCCCCCCCGCCCCCACCCCCCCGTGAGCCACATGTGAAGATGCTGGAAGCTTCCTGCCCCCAGAATCATGATTGGCCGGCGTCTTCATTGCTGTTTTCTAAAATCCTG